CCCCAAGACCCAAACCTCCTCCCCCCTTCAGATCTATATCTTCACATCCCCTCACACCTGCGACTAGATCTTCACACACACCCTCCCATCTGGCGATCTACAATCCTCACCCCTACACCGAAATAACCCCTTCATATCTAGATCTTCAACATCCTCACACCTGCAGGGAGAAGGGGGGGGGGTAGGCGATGTTATTGCGCCTCTCCTCCCTGGTACGAGGCTCCTTTCTAATCTTCACACCCTCAACATCTGCAGAATCTACATCTCACAACATCCCTCACACCTGCAATCTAGATCTTCACACCCTTCACACCTGCAGATCTAGAACACTTCACAAAACTTCACATCGGCAGATCTCCCTCTCATCTCGTCTTCTTCTATTCTCTCTAAGCGGTGGGCGGTGCCCGCCGGAGCGCCACGAAACGCAACCCTTTCGCACGAAATGGAGGTTGGACGTCAAAAACTGAGGAAAAATTGCGACTTTGAAGCGTCCGGCGCAACCTTTTCGCACGAAATGGACGTTGGACGTCAAAAACTGAGGAAAAATTGCAACTTTGAGGTGTCGCGCGCAACCCTTTCGCACGAAATGGACGTTGGACGTCAAAAACTGAGGAAAAATTGTAACTTTGAGGTGTCGCGCGCAACCCTTTCGCACGAAATGGACGTTGGACGTCAAAAACTGAGGAAAAATTGCGACTTTGAGGTGTCGCGCGCAACCCTTTCGCACGAAATGGACGTTGGACGTCAAAAACTGAGGAAAAATTGCGACTTTGGGTTGTCAATCGCAACCCTTACGCACGAAATGGACGTTGGACGTCAAAAACTGAGGAAAAATTGCGACTTTGAGTTGTCAATCGCAACCTTTACGCACGAAATGGACGTTGGACGTCAAAAACTGAGGAAAAATTGCGACTTTACTTTGTCAATCGCAACCCTTACACACGAAATGGACGTTGGACGTCAAAAACTGAGGAAAAAATTCAATTTTAAAGTGTCCATCGCACGCTTTCGTCTGTGGTAAAGTGTCTGTTGTGTAAAGGCCCTCTTGTGTGTAAAAGCCCTGTTGTGTAAAAGACGTCTGTGTAAAAGCGTCTGTGTTCAAAGTGTCTGTGTAAGGTCTGTGTGTCAACCTCTGTGTGTAAAAGCGTCTGTGTGTAAAAGCGTCCTGTGTGTAAAAGCCTCTGTGTAAAAGCGTCTGAATGTGAAAGTTTTGTTTTTGGTGTAAAAGCTTTTGTGTGTAAAAGCGTTTGTGTGTACAAGCGTCTGTGTGTAAAAGCGTTGCGTCTGTGTGTAAAAGCGTCTGTGTGTAAAAGCGTTTGTGTGTAAAGGCTTTTGTGTGTCAAAGCGTCTGTGTGTCAAAGTGTGTTTGTGTAAAAGCACCATGTGTAAAAGCGTTTGTGTGTAAAAGCTTTTGTGTGTAAAAGTGTCTGTGTGTAAAAGCGTCTGTGTGTAAAATCGTCTGTGTGTAAAAGCGTCTGTGTGTAAAAGCGTCTGTGTGTAAAAGCGTCTGTGTAAAAGCGTCTGTGTGTAAAAGTGTCTGTGTGTAAAAGCCTCTTTGTGTAAAAGTTTCTGTGTAAAAGTGTCTGTGTGTAAAAGTTTCCGTGTGTAAAAGCCTCTGTGTGTAAAAGTGTCTGTGTGTAAAAGTGTCTGTGTGTAAAAGCGTTTGTGTGTAAAAACGTCTGTGTGTAAGAGTGTCTGTGTGTAATAGCGTCTGGGTGTAAAATCTTCTGAGTGTACAAGCTTCTGTGTGTAAAAGCGTCTGTGTGTAAAGGAGTCTCTGTGTAAAGGCTTCTGTGTGTAAAAGCGTCTGTGTGTGAAAGTGTTTGTGTGTAAAAGCGTCTGTGTGTAAAAGTCTCTGTGCAAGCGTCCGTGTGTAAAAGCCTCTGTGTGTGTGTGTAAAAGAAAAGCGTGTGTGTGTGTGCGCGTGTGTGTGTAAAAGCTTCTGTGGGTAAAAGTGTCTGTGTGTAAAAGTCTCTGTGTAAAAGCTTCTGTGTGTCAGAGCGTCTGTGTGTAAAAGTGTCTGTGTGTAAAAGCTTCTGTGTGTAAAAGCGTCTGTCTGTAAAGGAGTATGTGTGTAAAAAGCTTCTGTGTAAGAGCGTCTGTGTGTAAAAGCTTCTGTGTGTAACAGCTTCTTTGTGTAAAAGCGTCTGTGTGTAAAGGAGTCTGTGTGTAAAAGTGTCTGTGTGTAAAAGCGTCTGTGTGTAAAAGCGTTTGTGTAAAAGTGTTTGTGTGTAAAAGTGTCTGTGTAAAAGTGTCTGTGTGCAAAAGCGTCTGTGTGTAAAAGCGTCTGTGTGTAAAAGCCTCTGTGTAATAGCTTCTGTGTGTGAAAGTGTGTGTGTGTGTAAGTGTGTGTGTGTGTGTAAAAGCGTCTGTGTGCAAAAAGCGTCTGTGTGTAAAAGTGTCTGTGTGTAAAAGCTTCTGTGTGTAAAAGCGTCTGTGTGTAAAAGCGTCTGTGTGTAAAAGGGTCTGTGTGTGAAAGTCTCTGTGTGTAAAAGTGTCTGTGTGTAAAAGTTTCTGTGTGTAAAAGCGTCTGTGTGTAAAAGCGTCTGTGTGTAAAAGCGCCTGTGTGTAAAATCGTCTGTGTGTAAAAGCCTCTGTGTGTAAAAGCTTCTGTGTGTAAAAGCCTCTATGTGTAAAGGAGTCTGTGTGTAAAAGTGTCTGTGTGTAAAAGCGTCTGTGTGTAAAAGCGTCTGTGTGTAAAAGCGTCTGTGTGTAAAAGAGTCTGTGTGTAAAAGCTTCTGTGTGTAAAATCCTCTGTGTGTGAAAGTTTTTGTGCGTAAAAGCGTCTGTGTGTAAACGCTTCTGTGTGTGAAAGTGTTTGTGTGTAAAAGGGTCTGTGTGTAAAAGCGTCTGTGGGTAAAAGTGTCTGTGTGTAAAAGTGTCTGTGTGTAAAAGTGTCTGCGTGTAAAAGCGTCTGTGTGTAAAAGCGTCTGTGTCTAAAAGCCTCTGTGTGTAAAAGCGTCTGTGTGTAAAAGCGTTTTTGTGCGTAAGTGTGTGTGTGTGTAAAAGCATCTGTGTGTAAAAGCCTCTGTGTGTAAAAGCCTCTGTGTATGACACAGGTTATTTCATTTTATTATGGAAAATCCCACATAAATGGCCCAAAAAAGCTCGGTACCATGATGCTGTGTATGACACATGTTATTTCATTTTATTTTGGAAAATCCCACATAAATGGCCCAAAAAAGATCGGCACCATGATGCTGTAAATGACACATGTGACAATACTTCACTAGTGAAATGTCTGCAAACGTTTGCACAAAAAAAGGTCCAATACCATAATGCAGTAAATGACACGCGTGATCTCATTTTATTCTGGGAATATCCCACAGAAACTATCAAAAAAGCTCGGTACCATGATGCCGTGTATGACACATGTCATTTCATTTTAGTATGGAAAATCCCGCAGAAATGGCCCAAAAAAGCTCGGTACCATGATGCTGTGTATGACAAATGTTATTTCATTTTATTATGGAAAATCCCACATAAATGGCCCAAAAAAGATCGGTACCATGATGCTGTAAATGACACATGTGACAATACTTCACTAGTGGAATGTCTGCAAACGTTTGCAACAGAGCTCGATGCCATCATGTGCTTGATGTCAAAAACAGAACAGTTTGAGTTCAGGACCATAAAATGTCATATAGAGACACTCTTCAAAAGCTTCTGTGTGTAAAAGCCTCTGTGTATGAAAGTGTGTGTGTGTGTAAAAGCATCTGCGTGTAAAAGCGTCTGTGTGTAAAAGCGTCTGTGTGTAAAAGGGTCTGTGTGTAAAAGTCTCTGTGTGTAAAAGTCTCTGTGTGTAAACGCGTCTGTGAAAGTGTTTGTGTGTAAAAGCATCTGCGTGTAAAAGCGCCTATGTGTAAAAGCGTCTGCGTGTAAAAGTGTCTGTGTGTAAAAGCGTCTGTGTGTAAAAGTCTCTGTGTGTAAACGCGTCTGTGAAAGTGTTTGTGTGTAAAAGCGTCTGTGTGTAAAGGAGTGTTCTGTGGGGGTGTAAAAGCTTCTGTGTGTAACAGCTTCTGTGTGTGAAAGTGTGTGTGTGTGTAAAAGAAAAGCGTCTGTGTGTAAAAGCTTCTGTGGGTAGAAGTGTCTGTGTGTAAAACGGTCTGTGTGTAAAAGCGTCTGTGGGTAAAAACCGTCTGTGTGTAAAAGCTTCTGTGTGTAAAAGCGTCTGTGTGTAAAAGCGTCTGTGTGTAAAAGCGTTTGTGTGTGAAAGTGTGTGTGTCTAAAAACATCTGCGTGTAAAAGCGTCTGTGTGTAAAAGCCTATGTGCGTAAAAGTGTCTAGTGTCTTTGCGTAAAGGCGTCTGTGTGTAAAAGCGTCTGTGTGTAAAAGCCTATGTGCGTAAAAGTGTCTAGTGTCTGTGCGTAAAGGCGTCTGTGTGTAAAAGCCTATGTGTGTAAAAGTGTCTAGCGTCTGCGTGTAAAACCTTCTGTGTGTAAAAACTTCTGTGTGTAAAAGCGTCTGTGTGTAAACGCTTCTGTGTGTAAAAGCGTATGTGTGTAAATGCGTCTGTGTGTAACAGCTTCTGTGCAAAAGCGTCTGTGTGTAAGAGGTTCTGTGTGTGAAAAACAATACGAAGGATAGGATGCAAACTAGTGTTTTGTACTTGTAATATATTGTCTTGATACTACTTGTCTCGCCTGCCTAAAATACATCTTTACTATATTGTCTTGCAATATAGTGTCTCAATACTAACAACAGAAGACCCTGCTCTCTCTCTCTCTCCCTCTCTTCTCTCTCTCTCTCTCTCTCTCCCTCTCTCTCTCTCTCTCTCCCCCTTTCTCTCTATCTATGTCTCTCTGTGGTTGCAAGACACGTGTCATATGATGCCCTTTACCAAGCAGCACAGTGCATATGCATGGGTTGTCACATGTATCCTCTTCTTAATCAATCTTACTTTTCACAACTTACCCCTCCATAGCTCATATAAAATTCACCAACCATTCACCGACTATTTCTTACGACTACCATACTCAGGGCTGCTTGAAAAACGTCTTTTTCGCTCTCGGGCCAACCGTCGTCTAGTTGAATCCATCGCCAGGAGCCTTTCTCCACCTGTCAACCTCTTCAGCACGATGTCTCCTGCGCATAGCTGTCTACCTCACGTTCAGCACCTTTCGACCAGAGTCGCGGGCCCAAAAGTGCTCGGCAAATTGCCCACGGACCAGGACGCTTCAGATCCTGCTATCTTGCTCCCCAAAACCGGCATAGAGAAGGTATCTGACTCTTCAATATGTACATCATTGTACATCCAAGTCAGAAGTCAGTTCAGTTTCCCAGTTTCCAGTCCAAGTTCTTCATCTGCTCACTCCAGGTCCACCACACGAAGAGCCGCCTGGGGGATGACCTGGTCCGGAAACCACGGAATCCATGGGGGGTAAACCTCCAGAAAAGCATCGAATCTTCAATCCGTCACTTCACCATTCAAGCACCACCCAACTTCACATCCCAACCTCCAACAACCATCACATCCATCAAGAACTTGACCATGGCAAATCATGTCATTACTTCCCAAATCAAGAATTTGCCCTACCAAAAATAGGGGGTGCTTGTTTCAAACCTTTGCTCGGCACCTGCTCCCTGAGCTTCTCATCTCCCAGAAGCTGCCCCACCTGCCCTGCATATGCCACGCTCAGCACGGTGGATGGGCACAGGCCATTGGCGCCCAACGACACCAAGGCCACCTGCAGCGGCGTGATGCCGGAGATCGAGTTGGAGATCTCGGAACCAGAGAGGATGAAGCCGCTGGAGGTCAGTAGAGCACAACCTGGCCCCATTGGAACGACTGAGGGATGAGGATGACTAGCTATTCTGCAACGATGAATCATGATGATTCTTTATTGTAGGGGATTTTTTGCTTATATCCTTATTGTCAGTATTACATCCTGATTCTAACATCTTATCATATCTTATCTATCGTTATTCTTTCTCTTGCTAGTTTTATCGTTGTTACTCTTATCAATAGCACTGCGGACAGGTATGAGTCTAACTTGCCAGGTACCGAATTTGGATGGCAAAATACCAAATTGGATGGCAAGACCAAAAGGATCCAAGACTTCCTCGAAATTAGGGTGGTGACGATGACAAGCCAGCGGGAATAGCACAGGGTCCAAAGAAGATTGACTGCACGCTGTGCCATTGAAACTACTGTGTGCTGTGGCATGTAGGCATCTATTGTTTGGAACACCGGATATATGTGAATCTATATCACATATAATGATGCAACTATGTGATGTTATGATATATTATGTGTATATATATACTCATCAATATAATTTAGAATTTTTACATACTATAATAGTACGTATAGTTAGTATACACGTAATAATAAATAATAATAATAATAACAATAATTATAATAATAATTATAAAAATAGTAACAACAATAATAATAATAATGGTGGAACAAAGGAAGGCATCATCTTTTTCTGTTGAGTTTGCACTTCCTCACCTCCACGTCCTGCTTCGCCATAGGCTCTTTTGGCGGCAATCCGCGCGGCCGAAATTTGACATTCCTCCAGCGAGTCGCCCTGGATGTCGTGATGGATGAAGTTGGAGTGTTGGAGACAGGTCCTACACGTTGGAACGCTGCCAAAACTCCAGCTTTTCCCCAAATCAAAATCCCAAAACTCCAGTAGTATTTCCCCAAATCAAAATCCCAAAACTCCAGAATTCGCGAGGTTTTACTAAGCCTTTTTTAAGATAATTTAATTGAAGTAGCTCATAACTGTAATATATGAAGGGAACTTAAAGAACTTAAAGTTCAGCAGCATCTAAGCAAGCAGATGACCCGCCTGCATGGTTTCAAGGCCCGAAAACAAAGCCACAAAAGCCAGCAAAATGATCGTTGAAGGCTGACTTCCAACATAGGGATGTAACCTCTTTGAACCCTGATAACCCGAAATGACCAGAAATGAAATTGGGATGTTGATCAAATTTCCCATTGCTGCTGAGATTTTTTTTTCCAATCCACATGTCCATCTGTTCGTTGAGTTTCGTCAAAATCTCCACATCAGATCCCAAAAAAAACCTCCCAGCTTGGCTCCCAGGGGTGTCGAGATCTCCCATCAGCTCACGCAGCAAGGGATGTTTCTTCATCAGGCTCCGCTTTACGGGTTTCACCACCTGCAGCACCCCGGAAACAACCAGGTTGGGAGCCTGGGGGTTCAACCGTCAGCTGGGATGGTCCCGTTCCGAATCTTCCAGAGTCGGGTGACGCTTTGGAACTGGGAGGAATGGCCAACTTTATGCCCTTCCCAACCTGCCAAAAATCTAGGAAAGTGGGGAAAAGAAAAAATGTTTTGGCAATGTCAGACCCCATCCTCCCAGATAGCAGGTTTCTAACATGGACGACCAATTGGCCAAAACAAAGGCCATCGAGCAGTTTCAAAAACCCTATCTGGCTGAGTAGTGGCCTATCATCATTGACGGGGAATGCAGTAAGTGCAAGCAGGTAAACAGGTAAACCATTGGACCATACTCCAAGGGCATGCCCACAAGAGCTTGGTGAATTTGGGTTTACCACACCACCTGTTGTGAACATCTCAGTCTTATTGGATGTGGTCTGCTCGCAACGACTCTGACAGCAGCTGACTTTTTTCATAAGCAACTGCAGCTTCACGAAGTTTCGAGTACTGTCACGCTGGAACAATCCAACTCTGCATGTCACTGGTTCCAGGCATTGTGAACTGCATCCACGCACAAGACTCTGCGGATTAAAATTAAACAACGTTGACCTGATGACTTCGCACCAACAAGTTTCTTTATATAAAGATCAGCCCGTGACTTGTTGCACGATGCGAATCCTTGAAGGATCAAAAATACAATGCTCTTCCAGTCCTGAAGACACCATGCCACAGTGGGGCGGACACCATGCAGCATCATAGCCACTTTCATGCCAGGTTTTTTGCATTGGATGGCCTTGTCGATCGATGGTCGCCACTCTGCCGACATCGACAAGACATTCGAAAATCACACCGGCATTGCGGGCGTAGCACCTTCAGCACTTGCTACGTCCTTGTCTCCATCCTGGAGCAAGAGCCGCATTGCTTCCACATGTCCAGACCATGCTGCGCCATGCAATGCTGTTGATTCATGCAAGGTTTCAGTGTCAAAGACTGCGTTCTGGTCAGCTCCAGCAGCTCAGAGAAATCTCACCACTTCCGAATGGCCATACGACACAGCCTAATGTAAAGCTGTTAAACCTTTTACCGCATTGCCATGTGGCACTGACGCACAAGCTGGCATCAACGTTGGCATTAACACCCAAGGTGGCATCGTCACCTTGGGTGTTAATGCTGCATCGATGTCTGCCCCAGCTTCAGCTAGCAATCGCACCATTTCCAGGGAGCCACGCTCACCTGCCATGTACAAAGGTTTATTATAATTCTCAGGGGCATAGTTGGCATAGTTCTTGTCTGCCTGGCCTTCGCAATGTTTTGGGACAAGTAAACTCCACGGCCCAACATGCCATCCGTAGATGGACGAAACCCATGTGCCTCGATTTGAGCAGCTGCAACAGCGGAGGTCCCATGATACATGCTCAGAGATGACGAAGCTAAGCCTGATGACAGCAAGGACTTGTGATCAGCACAGAAACAACTGAACCATGCTGGAGTCTTCCTACAACCCTGTGCTTGGCACAGCTTGTTGACATGGGCTGGGCAACATCCCTTCTGTGACGCACAGCCATTGCAAAAGCTGCACTTGTGATCAGCACAGAAACAACTAAACCATGCTGGAGTCTTCCTACAACCCTGTGCTTGGCACAGCTTATTGACATGGGCTGGGCAACATCCCTTCTGTGACGCACAGGCATTGCAAAAGCTGCACTTGTGATCAGCACAGAAACAACTAAACCATGCTGGAGTCTTCCTACAACCCTGTGCTTGGCACAGCTTATTGACATGGGCTGGGCAACATCCCTTCTGTGACGCACAGGCATTGCAAAAGCTGCACTTGTGATCAGCACAGAAACAACTAAACCATGCTGGAGTCTTCCTACAACCCTGTGCTTGGCACAGCTTATTGACATGGGCGGGGCAACATCCCTTCTGTGACGCACAGGCATTGCAAAAGCTGCACTTGTGATCAGCACAGAAACAACTAAACCATGCTGGAGTCTTCCTACAACCCTGTGCTTGGCACAGCTTATTGACATGGGCTGGGCAACATCCCTTCTGTGACGCACAGGCATTGCAAAAGCTGCACTTGTGATCAGCACAGAAACAACTAAACCATGCTGGAGTCTTCCTACAACCCTGTGCTTGGCACAGCTTATTGACATGGGCTGGGCAACATCCCTTCTGTGACGCACAGGCATTGCAAAAGCTGCACTTGTGATCAGCACAGAAACAACTAAACCATGCTGGAGTCTTCCTACAACCCTGTGCTTGGCACAGCTTGTTGACATGGGCTTGGCAGCATCCCTTCTGTGATGCGCAGGCGTTGCAAAAGCTGCACTTGTGCTTGGCACAGAACCGGCTGGATGGAACAGCCCTCTGTTTGCAACTCAGTGATTGACACATCTTGTTGACATGGGCTTGGCAGCATCCCTTCTGTGATGCGCAGGCGTTGTAAAAGCTGCACTTGTGCTTGGCACAGAAATGGCTGGGAAACCGCGCTCTCTGGTTGCAACTTGTTGATTGGCACATCTTGTTGACATGGGCTTGGCAGCATCCCTTCTGAATGACTGAGTTGTCGCAGCCAGTTTCGCGACACATTGAAGCCATCCGGTTACAAGAGTGCTTTGAATCCAGCTACCTTTCTCTTTGCCCGATTTCAACTCTTAGGCTTGAGAGACAAATCCAGGAGAGACAAAGCGAGGTTTCTCTTTATATTTTGATGGGGACAGCCCTTGCTGGATCATTGTAAACGATTGAAATTCGGGTCCGCGGTTGCAGACAGTAATATCAATGAGTTCGTAGCTGGTCTGTGTCATCAACTATTATACGATCATAGGTATGAACCATCTGGATACTTCCGAAAAAAGGAGGTCACCCGAGATCAACGGCTGACCCTCAACTCGGGTTTTGGAAGCGGCTCCATTTGGATTCCAGTCCGACCCCCAAAAAAAACACTCACTTCGCACTGATCAATGGTTCTTTCAAGCTCTTTAGATACTGTATTTGGTTTTCCCAAGAAGCATTGATAATGCGAGAGTGCAGGATAGATTCCCTAAATCAACATTCGACAGCATCATTCCAGGGGCCTATCTGCTTATCCCCTGCTGTTATCAAAGTATCAAAGTATATCAAAAAAAGTCAACAAATGTGTTCCACACAGGCAGTTCCAAATCATTTCAAAACGCATCTGCACCAAACCACCTTGAAATTCTCCAATCACCCTCCATCCACACACCTCGCCCCAGGATGGCGTTCCGCCGTTGGCATCGCTGGTTGCTGCTTCGCTCTCCCGCGGCACCACGGGGTCCACACCATGGATCCAACGGAGCTTGGGATACGTCGCGATGCATCGAAGTAAGCGAAGCCTCGCGGGGCGCAAATCGCAACTGGAGGAGCCCTGGAAGGTACTTCTGGTTGGTGGTATCAACCCCTGTGAAAAATACAGTACTAGTCAGTTGGGATTACTATTCCCAATATATGGCAAAATAAAAAGTGGTAAAGCCATGTAAAGCCAATAAACCATTCCAAATGGTAGACTTATGATTGGGTTTATCACATTAACCATGCCAGAACTGGGATGTGTCAGTGGGTGGAAAATCCAATCAAGTCGTTGGGATGAGTATTGCACAGAGCGATGGATCCAGTTGTGAAATGAGTGAAAGGGTGGGTAAATCCAATCAATGCAATGAGTCCAGAAGTTGAGATCAAGATCCATTCTCGGAAAATGGGAACCCTCTCCGTATCAGAAACTTGATATTTTAGAGACGAGTCCTTCCAGTCATGGACAGGGGAAAATGTCCTATAGTGTTCCCCAACAACGCTCCAGCTGTTCCAATCACCCTTCAAAGCTGGTTCAAACAACTAGTGAGCAACAAGTTGTTGATTTGAAGGAGTTCCCCTTCATTTGGGATCATGAGAATCCCTCATTACCATCTAGAAATTGACCTTGGCCAAGTGAGAACATCCCTCATTTGTAGCTGATTCTCGCATTTTTTTTCCAGCGCCAGGTGAAAAGGACATTCACTCGGCCGAGGGGCGTGTCTGCATCGGGTTGCGCGCTGGGGGAGGCGATGGCATCCACCCCAATCTCTCCATGGGAAAAGAGGTTTGCCACCAGCACCTGCCACGAGAACTGCAGGTTTTCTGGGCGAAACTCAGAGACGCAAGGGCCAGGGGTGGTAAAAATGGGTAGATAGAGAAGTAAAATAACCGATTCATCCTCATTTTGGCTATGTTTCACCTATATTGGGTTGACCACCCATTGAATCGGTAGATACCCCTAGTTAGGGGTGGAAGGGCTGCACCGAACCATTATTTTGACCACTGGGTTTCTTATGATTTTCCCCATAAAATGGTCACCAAGTTGGGTCGACCTCCCACAAGTACGGTGGTCAGGATGGATTAGTGAATCACGGGCAGGCTGCTTACCATGCAGTAGGCAAATTCAAATTCTGGTTGGGTAAGAACTCCTGGGCTCGGACCATTTCCAACATCTCAAGGATAGCTGAAGAATCCCCAAAAAATTATTCCGGCAAGAGACTCCAAACAGTGTGGGGGAGTGGGAAGATAATGGATGATGATGATGATGATGATGATGATGACGATGATGATGCTGATGATGATGCTGATGACGATGGTGATGGTGATGGTGATGGTGATGATGATGATGATGATGATGAGAAGGAGGAAGATCATGATGTTGAGGAGGATGATGAAAGGGATGACAATGTTGCGGAAGATGGGGTGGAGGAGGATTATGTTGCGGAAGATGAGTTGGAGGAAGATGAAGTTGAGGATGATGATGTGAAGCGGGAGGAAGATGATCATGTTGAGGAGGAGGAAGATGATGATGTGGAGGATGATTATGATGTTGAGGAGGAGGACCGATCCCAAGACCTAGGACCACACTTTGTGCGATCCTGTGCAGTGGAATGCACGTCAACATATCACAAGAGCCATTTTACATGCAAATTTACAGGAAAAACTCCGCGGCCCAGAACCTAGGACTACACTTTGTGCGAGCCTGCGCAGTGGAAACACACGTCAACAGGAAATTTACAAGAAAAGTGCCCGAGCCCAGAACCTAGGACCACACTTTGTGCGAGCCTGCGCAGTCGAAATGCACTGCAACCTTTCACAAGAGCAACCTTATACAGAAATTTACAAGTAAAAAGCCGCAGACCAACCCGCGGCCCACACTTTGTGCGAGCCTGCGCAGTCGAAATGCACTGCAACTATTCACAAGAGCCACTTTATACGGAAATTTAAAGTAAAATGCCGCAGACCAAACCTGCGGACCACACTTTGTGCGAGTCTGCGCAGTCGAAATGCACTGCAACTTTTCACATGCAAGAGCCACTTTATACAGAATTTTACAAGTAAAATGGCGCAGACCAACCCGCGGCCCACACTTTGTGCGAGCCTGCGCAGTCGAATTCAATGCAACTTTTCACAAGAGCCACTTTATAATTACGGAAATTTAAAGTAAAATGCCGCAGACCAAACCTGCGGACCACATTTTGTGCGAGCCTGCGCCGTCGAAATGCACTTCAACATTTCACAAGAGCCACTTTATATGGAAATTTACAGGTAAAAGGCCGCAGACCAGAGTGAGCACCCTGATCAAGCACAGGCCTTTACACCTACAGTAAGAACCCCTCAGTGTGGATGCACTGTTTGGGGAAAAAAAACATCAACTCAACAGGGGTTGAGTTCAGCCGCCACCAGGTCAGTTCCACCTGTTCTCCAGACATCTTCAGATCCTCCAGCTGCGGCCCCAGGTAGACGTTGCCACTGACATGCGCCAAGGCCACGGAGCTTTGAAGCTGCTGCGACAGGAACTGCAGCAGCTCGCCATAACTGAGGCCCAGGGACTGTTCTAAGCGGCTCCTTGGGAAGACTTAGGGAAGCACCACGACTGGGTAGGTTGGGGATTGGGAAACCAATCAGAAAATAAAACAAGACAAGGGAAGCTTGATACAAATTGCGGCCACCAAAACTCTTGTGAAATCATCCAACACTTCGGAGTTTTTTCCTCCAGAAAAATTGCCCCGAAAAAAGTTTTTGCCGCGGCACCGGGCATCGCTTAAGATCACCCACGGCTTCCTCAGCTGTTGACCAAAGGTGGCCAAACCGCCATGTTCCGCTAGCTGCCAGAGGTGGCAGCTGCCCAACCGCGGCATTGGCTGGGGAAAAGATGGCGGATGTCAAGTTTGGACAGATCTTTGGTCAAGTTTCAATGATCTGTTGGTTTAGGTTTGAACGACTCTTGAATGGTTTGGGGATGATGTTCGGATGAATGAATGGAATTTTGAATGGAAAGTTCCAAACATACCATGTGACGACCGTCAAATAAATTATATACAGAAAACAAAATGCATCTTGAGTCTCAGGGTATAACAAATTGGAGCTGCTGGTTGCATAATGAAGTGTGATCACTGCAATCAAGTTGCCCTGTGAGTAGTCGCCCAGCGGCAGAAAATGATGAAACAAAGGATGCTTAGATGTGAGGTTGTGTCTATATTGATTGATGATTTCAATGATTGATGTGTTGATTACCTAATTAACTAGCTCAGCGACTGAGAATGTCCGGAGAATCATCGAACTCATTTTAATACATGCATTCACTATGACTTTACTGTTAGTTGATAATCATTGAACTATTCAAATACACCAATTGATCAATTCATTGATTCATTGAGCCCCCCACACCACGCCTGCCACTCTTCCCATGGAACTGCAGGCTTTGGCGCGTCAAACCTCAAGCTTCGCGGCCGGCCTCTGAGAGTTCAAACTTTGCCTCCAAAAAAAGGTGGGAAAGATGAAGCATGGGAAAATCTTGGAGATGGTTACGTTAGTATATCCCTATCTTTGCAACTGAAGATTGAGTTGTACTAAAGTGCACATCCAACGTTTCCCCAACAAGTCATAGCTTGTGAACAAATGCCCCACAGCTGGTGAAAGTGTAGAATGCCCTGCTTTTGGTCTCCACCAAGATGATAGTTGTGGATGGGTCAAAACCCACCCGCCACCCCCTTCTTTTTCACATCAAAATAGATGGAAATTCTGGATGATCCCAAAAAAAAATGCTCTCTGTTCAATGTTTTCTTATAGGTACTGATCATAGCCATATGGCTCCGTTTCCTCCAGGTATCCTCCCCTTTCCTCCACAGCACCTAGGACCCCGGACACGGTGCTCTTCTGCTTCTCCGCGGGGAACTTCCGCCTGGAGACCAACGCAGCGGTGGAAGTGTTCCCTAGCCCGAAACGAGCCCATGACATGCCTCTGCAAACGTCCCCTCTCGTTTTTTTTACAAATCTAGGGAAAAAATGGGAAAAATTGCCCATTGATAGATGATAAACATTACGATTTGCCTATGAAAAAAGTGGTCATGTTCCATAGCATTGAATAACCAGAGGTGAATTCTATGTGCTTCAGCTTGTTTCACCTACAAGTCGAGAAAAACGTGGGGTCCGTCTTGTCCCACTTCACTGCTTTGGCACCTCCTGCAACTGGCGGGCCTAGAGATCATTACTACATCAGATGGGCTCCCAAGCTACACCGTCTCTTGGTGAATTTCGATCCCTGCTCTGCTGTGCAAATTCCCATTGTTCCAGGGGAAAAAACAGGTATTAAACACCCCCCAGAAACCATAGTTTTGAGGGGATTAAAAGCATGTTTGGGACCGTACACTGGGGATGTCTTATGGTGTTTTAATATTAGGGAAATTAGATACACACCTGCTGGGTATGATCCGCTCCTCGGGCCGCGCGACAGTTGCTTCTCGGGCTTGCCTCTCTTCTGCTTGCCTCCGGCGCTGGGCTCAACCCACACATGGTGATTTGTGAGCAATCCAAAGCTGAGATGAGCTCAGATTCCAGCAAAAATGGGTGGAGTCAAGTGACATATAAATGTGTGGATGTGACCAAGGTAATACGTTTTAAGGAAGGAAGCAATTGTGGATGCCGACCTATCAAAGAACTGATTCAACCAGCAAAAGCGAGGAGATTGCTGCTCGATTTCGGATGGGGTCAAACAGCCTGTCAAGAGTTGGCTTAAAAAATAATCGACGCACATATACGACATAATGCACATACTTTTCAAACAACACTCATTGTATCTCTGACGGACGCTATCAACGTTGGAAAAAGCAACAAATGGATGGAGATCCCAGTCCATAATCAAACATGTGGGGGAAATATGTACGATTCTTGTATCACAACAAAAATAGAAAACCCCTATGATTTTCAGTATCTTCACGGAGCTCCTGGTAGTCAGCCTCGCTTCTGAGTCTTGTTGGCAACTGGAGGTGGCCTGACCCTTTGGAGTTGTAAGCATTAAAGAATTAAGCCCAGTTGGAGGGGTGTAACCTCAGCTTTACGTTACAACTCCACCTATATACCCTCCGGTAAGCAAACTTGGCTGGGAAATCCCTTTGAAGTAGAGGTTTCAATCGGAAAATCACGGAAGTTTCCATTGCCACGTTTGAGTACCGGAGAGTACATACAAAACTATCAAGTTGGCATAGTTTTTGAGGGACAAGTTTAAGCTGTTTCTTTGAAGTGTAGTATCCATACCTTAGATGTGGAGGCTCAGGCGGGAGCCAAGTCTCACTACTTGATCATGTTCCCAAAAACGATGTGAAAATCCCGGATTCATAAACTCCTGCTCCATGATTAGTTGATGGGTCCTATCTATAATCAGCTGGGAACTATATCTTGCAACTCGCATATAATATGGTGATCCTTGTAGATATCTTATATCTATCACTTCAATGAAGATGGAGACCATATTCCCAAGATATATGCAATATAGAACATTTCCGGGACTTCCCTATGTGGCACCATCCTAAATCCGCTGCAGCACCTTCCCAACAAATGGTTTTTCCTGCGACAATTGGCTGGGCGGATTTCCCTGAAACATATGGTGACACCTTTAAGGCGCGCCATTTTGTGTGGATTTATGTGGAATTTGGATGTTTTGTTATGTGGATTTTTATGATGATTTATGATTGGTGTCTCAAAAAACTTAGGGAACCATCAGAGTTTCCTTTTACACCCAAAATACACCAAGGCCCAAGTGCAGAATCCCTAGATCGAAAATCCAGAGTCCGGGGCCGTGTTTTTGGTTACACGGGGGCCTGGGGGCCCTGAGAATTTGTACATCTTTATCTTTTGCATGTTTCTACTTTGATGTTGTGTAACATCAAGATGAGTTTAATGTTGGACGTTTGACATAGAGATGTTGGACCAGGTCCTCTTTGTTCATGGTTTGGGGAGTTTTTTGGGGTGGTGAGGGTGAGGGGTTGGCTGTGATAACGTTCTTGATAGTACGCTCTTGATGGTTCATCTGCATGAAGTGGCAGACTTGTTCCTACGCTTGTCATTGTTTGAGGGGTTTCGCGGGGGGAGTGGGGAGGGGGGCTGTGATAACGTTCTTGATAGTACACCCTTGATGGTTCATGTACATGAAGTTATATACGATGATATACGTATTCCTCATGAAGTGACATATGTGTGTTGCTACGCTGTGCACTCTTCGTGGTACATGAGTTGATACTTTTGCTGCTACCCTCTATGCTTTTGCGGTAAGCTCTTCGTATTTCATGTACGTGAAGTGACAAAAGTGTTGATACACTTTTCATTCTTGGGGTTTCATCTATTTCGCGTGTTTCGGCTATAAGAGGACCTGGTGAAGGCTTTATTAGGGATACATCTGTATATGTGTATATGTTGGTAATGTTTGAGACATTGTATCACCTCACAATATGGTATAAGTTTTTGGCCACGGAACTGAAAAATAGAGGATGAAGGAAATTGTTGTCAAAAAAAAATAGAGATGATGGGGCGCACAATCCCGTGCAAATACCATTAAAAGTGTGTTTTGGACGCCGTCCTCATGGCAATTCGTGGCCATGTTCAAACTATCGATGTTCACAAAACTGAAAATGTTCATTTCGTCAGGGGCCTCGAGTCCCCATGTTACCATGTTTTTCGCACCGATGTGGTGCCAGAGAATCCAAGTGAAGCCAGGTTGGTGGGCAGGAACCTGGGGAATGTGTCGCCCAGAACATGGGAATGGCACAAATCTATACAAAGGTGAGGTGCCGAAGAGCAAAAGTCTCTAAATCATAAGTGCCAAACCAACCCAATTTGGAGGGTTGAAATTTTGAGCCATGGGAATCTCTTGTCATTAATAATGCTGGTGATATCCCCGTCCGAGTCTTGCTCAACACATTGTTGTTGATTGATGCCTATGGGTTGCACAAGCCAATCTAACATAGGACTGAGTCAAGTCGCACCCCAAACAAATTGGATGGTTGATTCCAAAATCTGCGGAAAAGCCCGTCTTTCAACCATATCTTGACCATTTTTGTCTTCCGAAAACCTGCTGGATCCAATCCCAGTGCTCCAATGGAGGTCCTCCGCCTTCCTTCACCGGAAAACTGGGATGTTGGATCTCCCGGCCTAGTAGCTGCGAAGCCGCCTGGCCAAGGCCAGAAAGTTCAACCACTCTCTTGGGACATCTGGAGATCAAGGACCCCTTTATGTATGGCATCTATAGGGACCATACTAAGCAGATCTAAGCAGTAGTTACCCTTGATCTTTGGCAAATTGGGCAGCCGAAAAGGTGATGTTTCATCAACGATATATATGGTTGAGTCCTTGGATGCCCAAACTGTAATGGTTTCCCTCAAACAATCATGGCACACAGAAGGTCAGTGTCTGAAAATGAGGGGAAAAATCCAGGAAAATCCGACAAAATCCATGGGTTATTCACCATTTTCCCTGTTCAAAGGACAAATTGGCTTGGGACACACCCAGATCTCATCAGAGCCTCTTCAGCCGTCCAAGCGCTCTTGACCTCTGCAGGAACGGCAGGAACGGGCACGCTCTCCTGCGCGGGTCGTTCACAATGATGATGGTACCCCTAGCACAGATTTTTTCGCGAGCGCAATGTCGCTCATAAACACTTCGAGCAACATGACAGCAGCAAAAAACGCACAGCGCCAGGTTGGAACAATCATTTAGTGCAACGAAGAGCTTTATAGTGCAGTGAGTTGATTTTGGTAACTTGAGCCGGAGAATAAACCTGGGACTCAGCTCCATACATCGGCCGTGCTGGGGGAATTGGAGGAAGAAATTTTGCCCCTAGATATTTAGCTGTGTCCATTTGTGGGACAGGGGGTGGGGAGT